TAAAAAAGACAAAGAATCATACAGGAAAAATGGGCAAAGATTGGAAATACAAAGAAAAATCCCACCGACAAACAAACAATAACAAAAAGATACCCAAAATTACTAAGGAAGAGGATATGCAATTCAAGTAACTAAGACATTTCTTTACTGACTAGAAAAACATACAAACACAGATCATACTTATGTCTACTGGGGATGTGGAAAGGAGGCCACCACATACATTGCTGCCAGGGAAATGTAAGGAATAACACCCTTGTGAAAAAACAATACCCCAATATCCATTAAAATTAAAACCCCAGGGGCACTTGGGTGGCTCAGTTGGTTAAGTGTCTGCCTTCGGCTCAGGTCTTGATCTCTGATCTCGAGCTCCACGTCAGGCTCTGTGCTGACAGCTCAGAGCGTGGAGCCTACTTCAGATTCTGTGTCTCCCTCTCTCTCTGCCCTCCCCCGCTCATGCTCTCTCTCTCAAAAATAAACATTAAAAAAATTTTTTTTAATTAAAACAACCCCAGAAACTTTTCTCAGTAATAAATCTATTAGCACATATAAATCTATAAGGACATATCTTCAGAGAATATTTACCATAACACTGTTAGTGTAACAGCAAAAAAAAAAAAAAAAAGGAAACTAAATAAATTCCCATCTGCCAATAAAAAGTTGAAAAATGTATGGCACCTGCAGAATAAAATCTGTTATACAATCATTCAAATCTTAAATGAAAAACATTAGCAAATTTTTTTAAATATGAAACTTTCAGCACTGGCTCCATTGTAGAGAAACAGACTATTTCATAATATGCTGGTGTGGGTATACACAGGTGCAACTTTATGGGAAGGAAACTAGAGGACTCTATTAAAATTTTATATTCCCATGCATTTGGACCTAGCAGCCCAACTTCCAGAAATGTGTCCTACTAAAACATGGCATGATGTATGTGTAAATATATCAAATCATTATACATTGTACACCTTAAACTAATACAATGTTATATGTCTATTTATACATCTAAATAAAACAGAGGAAAACAAGATAAGATTTTCACTACAGCCTTTATTTAATAAGACTTGGAAAGAAAGTAAATGTCTACTCTTTTTTTGTTTGTTTTTAATATGAAATTTATTGTCAAATTGGTTTCCATACAACACCCAGTGCTCATCCCAAAAGGTACCCTCCTCAATACCCATCACCCACCCTCCCCCTCCCTCCCACCCCCCCATCAACCCTCAGTTTGTTCCCAGTTTTTAAGAGTCTCTTATGCTTTGGCTCTCTCCCACTCTAACCTCTTTTTTTTTTTCTTCCCCTCCCCCATGGACTTCTGTTAAGTTTCTCAGGATCCACATAAGAGTGAAAACATATGGTATCTGTCTTTCTCTGTATGACTTATTTCACTTAGCATAACACTCTCCAGTTCCATCCACGTTGCTACAAAAGGCCATATTTCATTCTTTCTTTTTTTTAAAAAATTTTTTTAATGTTTATTTTTGAGAGAAAGACAGAGTGCAAGCAGGAGAGGTACAGCGAGAGAGGGAGACACAGAATCCAAAGTAGGCTCCAGGCTCTGACCTGTCAGCACAGAGCCCGACACAGGGCTCAAACCCACAAAACTGTGACATCATGGCCTGAGCTGAAGTCAGACACAACTGACTGAGCCACTCAGGAACCCCCTAAATCTTTACTCTTAATAAAATGGTTGAATAAATGATACATATGATACATATACACAATGATACATATACACAATTAAGTAACAACACAGACTTGAAAAAAAATGAGATAGCTCTCTGTATCACTGAACTGGAAAGAAAAAACAGCCACTATGAAGTATAAAATGTAAACAAAACACTCTATTTGTTTGTGATTTTTCCATAATTTGAGAAATTGAAAAAAAAGTGGTTGGGGAAAATTAGATGCTTTGCCTTTTCTAAGAATCTCAAATGTCTGAACAGGTGAACCCTCTCCCTCCCCAACCTACCATATCTGACCTCAACCAGTTTTCTACATGCGCTACTACTATACTCATTACCTCTATAAAACTCAGTGGCTTCAAGATATCTTTTCTCCTTTCCAGATATAAAAACGGTATTAAAATGTACATATTTTTAATTTTAATTACCCTTTATCTCATTACTATAATTAATTTTTTCATACTCCTGTGGTAGAAATCCCTTGGTATAAATCAACATTACAAATCAGTGTTATTCCACATCTCCTGAACTACAATCCCTTTCAATTCTGAACAAGGAATAGACACTTCTTTGACTAAAGAATGTGTTTGTATCCTACTACATTCATAAATCTCAGCCTACCAAGTTTCACAACTCATAATAACAAATGTGGGGGAAGATTGAGGCTTCCTTCATTATTATTTTGTGGATTATTACATAGACCGATGGAAATAAAATCATAGCATTGTGTTCACCCTCTTTCCCAAATCTCCCTTGAAAAATACTGGGTACACTTCATTATTGTTCTATGTCAGGGGTCAATAAACTATGGTCTGCTACCTGTCTATATGGCCTGAAAGCTAAGAATGGTTTTCACATTTTTAAATGACTGAGGGGAAAATCAAAAGAAAAGTAGGGGCACCTGGGTGGATCAGTCAGTTAAGAGTCTGATTCTTGATTTTAGCTCAGGTCATGACCTCCCAGTCATGATATCGAGCCCCATGTCAGGCTGCACGATGGGCATGGAGCCTGCTTAAGATTTTCTCTCTCTCTCTCTCTCTCTCTCTCTCTCTCTCTCTCTCTCTCCCCCCTCCCTCCCTCTCTCTCCCTCTCTCTCCCTCTTCCCTTTCCTCACATGTGCTCCCCCGCTCCCATCAAAAAATACATACAAAAAGTGTCCATACAAAAAGTTTTACTGGAACACAGCAATGGTCATTTGTTTGGTATTGTTTAATGCTGTTTTCACACTACAAAGACAGAGGAAAGTATGAGCCTCAAGGCCAAAAGTACAGCTTATCTGGTTCTTTACAGGAAAGATTTGCCAACCCCTATGTTCTGTGTCACATTACATGCCCTACATAATTTTATACTTTTACCTAAACATTCTCCAGCCTTTCCTTCCATATTCAGCATAAAGTCTTGTTAATTATCTATTACTCTCCAGGCAAACACGTTCTTCATAGACCTTTGAAATGCACTTCCTCCTGGGAATGTCCTTAGTCTAACCACATCCCTGATCACCTACAAACAGAAAACCAGAATGGAGTGCTAGCAACACCTTAAAAGTTACAAATGAACAAATCAAAACCAAAACCAAACTTCACCACCACCAGCCACCCTCCAAGGTGAAGCTAAAGAGGCTAACTCCCCAGTTAGTGGCTTTCAAACTACCCTATCTTAGAATTGAGGCGTTGTGTAAACTAAATTTTACCACCACTAAAATTCCTAATGGTCAAACAGCAAGGAGAAAAAAAAGTAAATGTTAATTTCCCAAGTTTAATCCTCTTCAAATCATTGGCCACCCGAAAAAACAAGGGGGGGGGGGGAAGTAGACCAATTATATGTAGTATGCATGACCCTAAATCCCTACATTTGATATTTTCTGCAAGTAAATCGTCTCTGGCCCCCTGGAGTAAAAGGTTAAATCTTGCACTGTGTAGACAATATCACAACTTACATAGGAACAAGATAGGCCGTTGGGCCATTTCCTCCTATAGGGTACACCAAAATTTGCCCATCTCTTTCAGTCAGCATTCTGCATACCAAGTGTTGGGGGAGAAGAGGCGGGACAAGCTGCCTTTTCTATGAACAATGTCAGACACTCCTAGCACTAACTCCTCCCCAGCCTCATCACACCTCTACCCTGCACTAGGTCCTCCCCAGCTCCATCACCTCTATTCAGGACCTCCTCCCCAGTCTCATCATACCTCTACCAGCAGAGTCTTCCTCCAAAGTCACAGGCGTGCAAAGCTTCCAGTAACAGAAGAGGAAAGCAGGAAGGCTATAATGCAAAAGTCTGGAGTTCCCACACAAGCATCATCTGCTCTTTGGGAAGATCTCAAGTCATAGCCCGAAAAGTGAAAAGAAATGGGACTTGGCTCGCACCCACTTAACAGGTGTTTACCGCACGCTTGCTAGAGGCCGGGCAGCGAGCGAAGAGCTTAGGATAGAAAGGTGAGCAGCAGAATGGCAGCTCTCCCGGGGCTCCCACTCCACTGGGGGAGGTAAACAATGTCTTTAAAGCCCGCCTAGGAATGCGAGGAGCATTTGAAGCCCACGGCAGGGACAATTTACCTAATCCTGTAATGTTAAAAGGCTAAAACTCAACCAGTCGGAAGTGACGTGACAGCCGAAACTTGCAGGTCCGCCACGTAACTGGCCGCCGCCTCAGCTAGCCACCTTCTCCCTGGACTGGCCTGAAGAGAGGATAAGTGTAGCTCAAAGTCCGCAACCTCCCTTGCCCTGCCCCCAGCGGCTCCCAGTCCCACCCGGGACCAGCAAGCGTGGCCAGAGCCGGGGTCCGCAGCCCGAGTGGGACTGCAGCGGTCTCTGGCACCCATCGGCGCCCTGCGGGCAATGGGGCTTCAGCGCTCAACCAGGCGCATGCGCGGCCCTCTTTCTCCTGAGGATTCCTCGGGTCACCTGAACGACCGCATTTCGGCCACCTGCCCCTCCGGGTCCCTTCTCGCTCTTGATTCCTCCAGCTGTTTCTCACCTCTGACCCCCTCCTTCTCCTTCTCCGCAGGCACTGCTAGGCCTTGCGGCGGCCGCCAGCCGACACCAAGGCTTCCACTGACACGAGCCTCTCGGCGCGGCTTCCGCTTCCGGCGAGTATTGTGTGTCGCGCTGCGGGGCGGGGGCGGGGGGAGGAGGAAGGAGGGAGGCAGCGCTCCGGCGGCTCCGCGCCCCGCACTCCCGGACCTGAAGCCGGGAAGGTAGGTGCTGTCCCGCTGCCGCGCCCGGGCCCTGGGGCCTGCCCCCGCCGGCCGGCTCGGCACGCCGCGTCCCAGCGCCCCGCGACTGCGTCACCGGCCCCCCGCACGTAACCACAGCTGCCTCCGCCCGCCTCGGGCCCGGGCGGACGTTTTGCCGCCCCGGCGACGTCAGCGCGTCCGGCGTTGCTTGGCTACCCCGCCGTTCCCCCGTCCCGCTGCCGCTCGCCTCCCCGGGTGAAACTCTGACGCCGTCACCGCGGGCCTCGGCTGCGTCATAGCGGCGGGCATCCCACCTTCACGTCACACCTTCTCCTCACCTGGACACGCATTCCTCCCTCCCTGTCAACCACGACGTTTCCTCTCCCCTTCTCCAATCCCCCTACGCCAGATCTGGCGAGAGAAGATGGAGACGAGGGTGGGCATGAGTTGTGGACGACGCTCAGGAGAGGGTCGCAAGGTGGGACCCCGGACAGTGGTAGAAACAAAATGAGGACGTCCCTCAAGTTTGCCCTTCTACTGAGACACAAGGAATAGAGGGAAAGAAATTACCAACCTGGAGGCACCCGAGGCCTCACTATGGCTGTAACTCCAAGTCCTCTCTATGCATCCCTAACCTTTTCCCCATTTCTCTTTCACACCACTTCTTTGCCAGTCTAGATCCATCCTGGTCCCTAACTCTGCATACAGTTCAACTTACCCCAGGTGAGGAGACCACCTAATTTCTAGAAAAAAAGGGACAGGTTCACTAGTTGGATTCTCTTCGGTAAAGAAAAATCATCTAACTCAACTTCTCTCCTAGTTGAGGAAAGAATTCAGGTCCAAATAAGGTATCAGCTCCAACTCCAAATTAAACACTTTTCATGTGTGCCAACAACAATATATACAGTAATCATTGTTAACCCTATTCACCACATGGCCACTTCTTTCTTAGCACTTAGACCTACTAAATTTCCTTTCTTCTGTTGGAAGGGAGGGTGGATAGAGAAATCCATGGTTTCATCGATAAAAGTGGTGATTTTCAAGGAAGGAGTGGGGGACCAGCTTTATAAATCTCTTTGATGCATTTCCAACATTTTGAGCCTTAACTTGAGGGAGACTTTAATTGCCTCTTTCTCTAATTCCCAGCCACTCCAGAACCTACTAGTTGGAGGCACAGTACATCCAAGGTATTAGTTATCAGTAGCTATTTCAAAACTCCAGTCACTGCTGAATATTTAGGATAGACTTGTCAGCCTTCTTTTCAAGTATATACTCTCAAGAAGTATATACTCTTTAGTGTAGTTGCCACGTATTAATCACTTTTCAGCAGTCCTAAATGTCTAAGTGCACTCAAATAAATGAGATGTTGGGTGAATAATGTCATTCCAAGAAGAAGACACACTTCCCCTAGACTACTCTAATAAAGGGAAGAATAATTTCAAGTTTTCCTGAAAAGAAGAGGTTGTTACCCTTGCCTAATATTCCTTTTATTACCCTTGAAACATAGGACAATGGCAGAGAAGCCTATGCTCCAGGGGGCTATTGTAATAAAACTCTTCTGTAACATTAAACTTTAAAATATACTTAAGAAATCTTAATACTTGGACTTTTATGGCATGTTTCACTTTCCCAAGATCCTTTCTCACTATTAGAAAACTATATCTAGTAGGGATACAATGGTCTGCTTTTAAGATACATGTGTACTGAGCCTGGATCAGAAGAAGTGTGCTGGGCTAGAGTTGAAAGAAGCCTCTAATAAGAGAAAGCAGAGGTAAAAGACAAAAGAGATTGGTGGTTGGGTGTCAGTTTGCTGAACAGGAAAAAAATTAGACTGATGGTTGGGAGTCACAAGGTTTGGAAATAGAGAAACAAAAGAGAAGTTGTATCTAGTGGAAGAGAAAATGTAAAATACCAAGATGGGGATAACTGGAGTTAGGATTTATCATGGGAGTAAATGCCAGTCCAGGGACACAAAAAAATTAAACCTCCAACTAATATTTTTCTTTCTCTGCCCCCTTTTCATCCCTAAGTTAAATAATGGCAGAAACAAGTCTGTTAGAGGCTGGAGCCTCTGCAGCCTCCACAGCTGCAGCTCTGGAGAACTTACAGGTGGAGGCGAGTTGCTCTGTCTGCCTGGAGTATCTGAAGGAGCCTGTCATCATTGAGTGTGGGCACAACTTCTGCAAAGCTTGCATCACCCGCTGGTGGGAGGACCTAGAGAGGGACTTCCCTTGTCCTGTCTGTCGAAAAACATCTCGCTACCGCAGTCTCCGGCCTAATCGACAGCTAGGCAGCATGGTGGAAATTGCCAAGCAGCTCCAGGCTGTCAAGCGGAAGATCCGAGATGAGAGCCTCTGCCCCCAGCACCATGAGGCCCTCAGCCTTTTCTGCTATGAGGACCAGGAGGCTGTATGCTTGATATGTGCAATTTCCCACACCCACCGGGCCCACACCGTCGTGCCACTGGATGATGCCACACAGGAGTACAAGGTGGGGAACCACACACATGATGCCAACATGGGGCATGAGGGAGGAGCACAGAAGATGGGAGACTCCCTAGGTAAAGGATCCTAAGCTCCTAACAGCAAGACCATAACTGGTCTTTACTCTCTAGTCCCCTCAAAGCTACAAACACAGAGGGCACAGAGTACATCTAATCAGTTATCCCCAAGCATGGGGATATGTGTGGTGTTGTAATGTATTATATAAATGAATGAAACCACTTGGAGATTATCAAACTTAGGAAAAACTGAAAAGTAGTCTGGTTTCATTTTTTTTTTTTTTACATTTATTTATTTTCAAGAGACAGAGTGAGACAAAGTGAGAGTTGGGGAGAGGCAGAGAGAGAGGGAGACACAGGATCGGAAGCAGGCTCCAGGCTCTGAGCTGTCAGCACAGATCCTGATGCGGGGCTCAAACCCACAGACTGTGAGAGCATGACCTGAGCCGAAGTTGGACACTCAACCAACTGAGCCACCCAGGTGCCCCTAGTCTGGTTTCATTCTATCCCCCTGCTCAAAATGTTCCTTATTTTCCCATTGGTATTGGGAATAGATAACATCAGTTTACACTGATCCCCACCAGACTAAGATGTTTGCATCTTCCCAGATAATGGATAATGTGGCATCTGATTTAAGTACTGCTGGGACACAGGGTAAATGTTCAAGTAGTAGGAACTAAATATTTTAATATGTTAGCACTGTATCAAGTATTTTGCTTAATTATGTTAATAAAATCTTGGAAGCAAGATTTAAAGTAGTCTACAGTGTAAGTAATACGGATTTATTTGCAGGTGGTTAGAGTTGGATGAGAGGACAAGTTTAAAGAAGACTATCAAAATACAGAAAGTCACTTTGACCATAATAGGCAGTCACTTGAGTAACAAAATGACAGGATTGGGGAAGGACACGGAGTTGGTGACAGCTGGACAACTGTGAGATTCAGTGAGAGGAAAGTTCTTGGTGAGCAAGGAAGATGATGGGGACAGACTGGTTGCAGGAGGAGGGACCAAAAGTTGACACCCCAAATGACAGACAAAGAAAGAAGTGGGATCAAGAGGTGGTGAGATAGACAGGAAGCAAACAAATGGTTTCAAACTAATGGGTTAACCTCTGAATGTAGGATATGCCAGCCACCCCAAAATCCCACCTCTCCCACTTCCCACCCTCAGGAAAAACTGCAGAAGTGCCTGGAGCCCCTGGAGCAGAAATTGCAGGAGATCACCCGCTGCAAGTCCTCTGAGGAGAAGAAGCCTGGAGAGCTCAAGGTAAAGGCAGGTGATTCCATTTGGGCTGCTTTGCAGGCAATTAACCATACATTATTTAATCCACCAGTTCTGATTCATTGGAAAACTGCTTTTCTCTTAAAAACAATGGTATTTTGTTAGGCTTCTTTGTCATTAAACATTGCATTAAAGTATTTGTCATGAATTAAGTATTGTAGAGAAGGATGTAAGAGGTGAAGGAAGGATGGACAGAATATTTTACATCTGACAAGTTGAGGGAGTTCATGCGCATTGGTCTTTTTTCTTGTAAAACAGGAATGAGAGGCAGGGAGAGAGCAGGGATAGGAGTTTCTTAGAGGGATTGAGGAGAGGAGAATTTGGAAGGCTCACTGGGGTGGAAGAAAGAAGCAACTGACCAAGAGCTCACAAAAATGCCCAGTGACTTTTAGGACTACATTCTCTTAAGTAAGCTCAGGTATGCTAGATGATGTTGGTTCATTCCTAGACTGTTCCCCTGTCTACCCTACATCTGTAGGATCCTATCTGTCCTTCAGGCAGGATAAAAGCCACTTCCTATGTAGCCTTTCTTGACCCTTCAGAAATTGATTTTCTTAATTTTCATATAATTTTACTTCTCTTTCATGTATTCCCATAGTTGTAGCATGATATTTTGGTAACTGTCTTATTTTATTGGACAGTGAACAATTCCTAATAGTGGCAGTAATAACTGTTTATTGAGTCCTGTGTGTTAATTCATTGGGTGTCCATGACATTCCAAATGTACAGAGTTGTGTTAAGTTTTAGTGGGACCTAGATGAGCTGTCAGACAAAGGGAAGGAAGTCCTGAAGGTCATCTTTAGCAAGGGTGAACTTACATCTCTTGTAAAGTGAGTATTATTACCCCTAGTTATCACAGGAGGAAACAACTTGGATAAGTTCTAGTCCAAGATCACATAGCCAGTATGGGACAAAATCAGGGATATTAGCTCTGCATGAATCTATAAATATGTATTAAGTTTCCAGTATAGACCAAATTCTGTGTTTGACACTGGGGAACAAGGATGAGCAAACACACAGTCCCTGTCCTGCTTAAGCTTACAGTCAAGTAGAGAAAACAGATAATGACATGGCACAAAAAGCACAGTTGCAAATTCATAAGAAGACAACATAGAAATTTGACCTCATTAAAAGCTTCCAGAAGAAATAATTCGCTTTTGGAGTTGAGATTTAGGGATCACCAGAGATTAAACACAACTTTGAAAATAGTAGGAACACTAATTTTTTAACAATGACAACATTTTGACAGAAAGCAAGTATTATTAAGTATTACTAAGTATTACCTTAGTCCTTTATATATTTGAATAAAACAAGATTTTGAACTTTTAAAATATTAATTAATTTTGATTGCAAAGGTGAACTTTAAAAAAAAGTTCTTTGTTCTTTTGGAGGGCTCCTGAGAAACTTAAAATATGTGAAAACGAAGCTTATTCCCAGTCATTAACTTTCCTGTTCCTGTTGATCACCTTCTTAAAGGTAAAGAATAAAGAGGGGAATAAAAATTTTTAAAAACCTTTTAAATGCTTGAACAGAACTGTGGTATTTTTAAAAATTCAGTGGTCTCTGAAACTACCACCAACATTCCTTTTGTAACCATTTGAATTCTCCGAAACCTCTCCCTCATCCCTATTTCCAGAATCAGACCCAATGCCCCTTTTAAAAATAAATAATTTGTAATTAACCATGCTGAAGTGGAAATTATAGATAAAATAACTTATCTGCATAATTTTAAAAAGAGATTATTATGCCCAAACACACACACACACACACACACACACACACACACACACACACAACATAGAGGAAAGTGATTTATAATAAAATCTGGTATGTAAATATTTGGGCATTACTATCCTGAAAGACACCACAATATAGTTTTATCCTTGCATCTCTCTGTGACACCATCAACAATGCAACAAATACAAATTCAGACTCAGGTAATTGCGTAGTAATGTTGACAAGCACCACAAGCAGCTTAGCTCTTAGTGACATAATTTTTCAAAATGATAAGTAACTTTTGATAAAGTTCTAAGAAAAACAAAATACAGTCTTAGTTTTATTCAGCTGTTTCTGAAAAAATCAGGTATATTAAAATTGGGTAAGAATTACTCTGCTTATGTATAAAATGGCATTTAAGTCTAGGCCTATGTTTTTGAATATCCAGCGGAACATAGAAAATGATGCAGGACTGTGCATGTTGCAGGGTCATCTCACACATTGGAGTGCTAGCAGCCCACCAGAGTACCCCCTATTATGGCAAACAAAAAGATGCCCCTTGTTTCTAAAATATCCCTAGTGGGAAGTAACACCTTCATTAAGAACCACTGCCATACAACTATAGAGTGGGGAAAAAAAAAGAGAAGAATGATGGGATTATATAAGAGAGACCCCTTTGGGTTCCTATTAAACATAGTTATTAATCCTAAATTCTACCCATACATCACCTCTCAACATAGACACACATGTAGACACACAGACACACAGACACACAAACACACACAGGAAAAAAGGTTGTATTTCAAGGGTTGGTAACCTTAGAAAATTCAGTTATTTTATCAGCATAATTGAGTTTATTCAGGAATAGCAGAGAACTGCAATTCAGGACAAGCAAGTTAAGGCAAAACCATAGGCAAGTCCAGAGAACAAAGGAGAGGACCACTCTTATATAGGAAAGGCGGGGATTGGGAAGAAAATCCTTGGAGTAAACTCGGAGTTCAGAGTATAGTGACTTTTTATTGGCTAGGTTGTGACAGTCTATCATTGGCTGGGCTTGTTGACTGCAAAAAGAAAACGTTTCTTCCTCCTGCTGGTGTAGTAAGGTAGTATGGACCTATAAGGTACATCTCTACCTGTTGGGATAACAATTGACCAGTGGTGGGGCGTGAGTGCTCCCCCTGCTGGCAACCTGACCATTTTAGCCAGGTTTCCTTTTATTAATTTTCACAGAGTAAATGTGTTAAGAATATATTTTGTTCCAGTGTGTACCTGAGAAGGCAGCAGTAGAGTGGGAAGCAACAACTCTAGAACTGGAGCTAGCCAGCCTCTGCTGAGAATTAGCTTGAAATCCAGAAACACCAGGCTTGTAAGGCTTTGCAGCCCCTCTGTATTCACCCTCAGCCGTACCTTTCAGTTTCTATCTGCATTTTACTTCCAGAGTCCCAATCTCTGCTTCTCTCTTGCTTCCCTCTTGGGTTTATTTCTCCCCATCAGTCATATGACACTTGGAGAATACGTCTGAGCAGATCACTTGTTGCAGTGGAGGTAGAGAAGGAAGGATGTGCTTGCTAATAACCCTCAGAAAGTATTATGGCTCGTGTTTTAGTCCCATATTATCAAATTTCAGGAATGTTAAAGGTTTAAGTCTGTGTGGTAGCTGAGAGAAAAACGTCAAATTTCAATATATAATTCACTAACAAATTTCTGGAACCTATTCCTGGGATGGGAACTGTCAGTTGTCTGAAGTGACTTGAAACTGTTAACATGTTATTCCCTGAAATCTATATACAGTTGACCCTTGAACAACAAAGTTAGGGGTACCAACCCCAGTCCAGTCAAAAATCAGCATATAACTTTCAACTCCCCAAAAACTTAATTCTTAATAGCCTACTGTTGACCAGAAGCATTAGTGATGACATAAAAAGTGATTAATACCTATTTTATATGTTTGTATTGTATACTATATTCTCACAATAAAGTGAGCTAGAGAAAGGAAACTTACTGAGAAAATCATAAGGAAAAGAAAATACCTTTATGGTACTATACCATATTGAACCAAAAAATTCTGTGTATAAGTGGACTCTCACAGTTCAAACTCATGTTGTTCAACAGTCAACTGTATATATTTGGTAACAACTCATAACTAAAATCTTACTGATTCTGATACTTTTTCAGTTGGTCTCTGGTTTTTAGTGGGTAGATGTCTAGCAATATACAAATGATGATCATCTGGTCTCCAACTTCCCAGTATTTATTATTTTCCTTTTCTTGATAAATTTCATTAGCTATAACTTTAGCATTGGAACTAGCAAAAATATCTTGTATCCATAATAATAGATGTCTCTATATTATTGAGTTCTTATATTTTGCATTTTTTTCACCAAACCAGAAGTATAGCTTTTTTAGAAGTTAATTTAATAAAGAAAATTAAATATTTTTTCAAATAATTTTTTTAAAGTTTATTTTTATTTGAGAGAAAGACAGAGAGCAAGCAGGGGAGGGACAGAGAGCAGGGGACAGAATCCCAAGCAGGCTCTGTGTTGCCTCCACAGAGCCCTATGTGGGGCTTGAACTCATGAACCATGAGATCATGACCTGAGCTGAAGTCAAGAGTTGGACGCTTAACTGACTGAGCCACTCAGGCACCCCTAAAATTAAAATTTTTTTAAACACTGATTTTTTTTTAATCTCCCCAGTAGTCTTCACTCCCAAGTCACCAGTAGGGGTGATAATGGGGATGGAGCCATTACTTAGAGGAGATTTCAATGGAGAGAAACATGAGTGTCCTGTTAGAGTATTTGCAATGACACTGGAAATCTGTTAATTCATACACATGGTGGGTAGGGAAAGGCTCCCTTATGCCCCACTGGCCCTGTTAAGTATAATGCTTTCCCTGTTTTCTTAGAGACTAGTGGAGTGTCGCCGACAACAGATCTTAAAGGAATTTGAAGAGCTTCATAGGCGGCTGGATGAAGAACAGCAGATGTTGCTTTCACGCCTGGAGGAGGAGGAACAGGACATTCTACAGCGCCTCCGAGAAAATGCTGCTCACCTTGGAGACAGGCGCCGGGACCTGGCCCACTTGGCTGCTGAGGTGGAGGGCAAGTGCTTACAGTCGGGCTTCGAGATGCTTAAGGTTCGACCTTTGCCCCTGTATAGCCTCTCAGGTCAAGTGCAGTATAGCTTTGCACAGGCCATTCTGTCAACCTGGGATGCTCACCCTCCTGCTCTGCTTCTCTAATCCAGTTCTTTCTTCCAGACATGCTCAAAGGATCTTTTTCTACAGAAAGTCTTCTTCTGATTTCTCCCATCCCCTTCTAATCATTTCTGTGTTCTTATGTCTTGTGAACAATATGTGCTTAATTTGTACCAAAGAAAAAATTCACTCCTTTGAAAGGAGGGAAATCTAGTCTGAATCAGTGAAAAAACTATACATTAAAAATTATGTGAATGCAGTTGCCATTACTTTTAGGTCCTGGAACTTGATTTACCTAGTGCTAAAAACAAACAAACAAACAAAAAAATAGAAACCTAGTTTGAAGGACACTTGAAATTATGTATAAATAATATATTAACTTTTGCTATGTAAATAATGACTCTAAAATGTTTGAAATAATTTGTTCTTTTAAGCAGATGAATGGTGTTAGCAAGGTTGTAGGAAACATATCTCTTTTTAGAGATCAGATTACCAGCATTTGAATCAGTGAGGCTTCATTGTACATTTATCTGCATGTTATGTATTGCTTGGTACTTATTCTTGTGTCCTTTCATGTATGTGTGTTCTGCCTTCCACATTAAACTGGGAAATCCTTGGGGGGCAAAGATTTGTCTTCTTTGTCTTCTGGACCCCAAGTATTCAAAAATCAGGATTGGCACACAATTATCAATGTTTATTAACCAGTACCAGATGGGGATAACAACAACAACAACAGGAAAGTGATTCATTCCAATGCCACCAGTCTGTACTGATCCTCAAGGAGACAGGTGTGTGGTTGGTACTTGGGGGACAGAGTATAGAGCAGACACAATCCCTGTCCCTTGCATTGAGCTCCCAGTGTCCTTGAGGAGCAAGACAAACACACAAGAAACCATTTGGAAGTGATATAAATTACCAAGCTTGATGCTATCCAAAAGTTGAAAACAGAGATCAGATTGGGAAAGATGTACTCTGATCCCTCTGGAGCTCTTCCCTTTGCATTTTGACCCTCAGATTGCCCTATTCCTATTTTATAGATCTAGAATTTTGGGGAGGAGGGGGAACCTTTTGCCTTTAGGACCCTTGACTACCAGGACCAATATTGCTTTCTTTTCTCCTTCCCTCTAGGATGTCAAAAGTACCCTGGAAAAGTAAGTGATTCTTGCATCTCTTTGAGTGAGTTAGGTCTTGGCTTAGAAACCAAGGGTACAGTAAGGAGTAGGGGAGAATGATGGGAAAGTCACACAGTGTCTGGATAGGATGTGGGAGAAGGTTCATTGCGTCCATGAAGGCTGTTAGAGAGCAAATCATTGGGAGTAAGAGTACATTACCATTTCCCCATTGAGCATCAGGACTAACTTGGTAAGGAAGAAACCAAGGTAATGTAGAACCAGGTGCTACCTTTGTCCATGGGTGGAAATGTGTCCAAACAAGACAGACAAAGGAAGGGGTTGGGAGAGTGGGGAGGGTGATTACCCATTTGCATGAAATATAGCAATACCCCCAGAAAGTTCTGAGACTCATTCTTAAAATAAGACTCTGTCCAGGGGACCCTATGGCTCTCCATAGATTGGCAAAAGAAAGCAGTAAGTACTTGTCTTCAGGGAGGAGGGAGAAAATGGGAGGATGGAGAATTTTAGTTTCTCCCTAAATATGACAATATCTGCATACTCACTCAGCTGGAGCTTCCCCTGACCCTGCCCTTTCTTCCCCTATCTCCCTATCCCTCCTAGATGTGAGAAGGTGAAGACCATGGAGGTGACTTCAGTGTCCATAGAGCTGGAAAAGAACTTCAGCAATTTCCCCCGACAGTACTTTGCCCTAAGGAAAATCCTTAAACAGCTAATTGGTGAGTTGTTCCCAAAAATAAACTAGCAGAGGAAATCAGCAGAGAAGAAAGTCTTTAAGTCCCACTTTATCTGGGCTCCAGTTGTACCATCTGTCATTTTGTGCCCATGGCCACACCCACCCCTTTACCTGGCTTTCAATCTCACTGTGAGTGACAGAGCTTAGGTGTCATCTACTCTTAGGCCCACACTTTTCTAAATAGGGACCCATAGAAGTTAAATAATATGCCTAAACTTGTCCTTTTTTGAGAACGAGAGGGAGTGCCATTAATATTTACTCAGAGAAAATAGTCACAAACCAGGACTGTTCCAGGAAACCAGATACATGGTCACCCTATCCCTGGACCATACTGCTGTCTTGCTGTGTATCTTTCTTAACATTTTCTGTCCTTTCTGGCCCTTGGACTGTGACTTGTGCTTCATCACTCAGTGAGATGATGTCACAGGGGGATGAAAAAGGGATAAGGCAGGAGCCTAAACCATCAGCCCTTGCAGAATTGAGATTATTATCTGTTTACTTCAGGGCCAGGGTAAGAAGGGAAGCTGTTGTTCCCTCCTCTCCCTTAGGTGACAGCATGGATTGAGAAAGTTAAACCATGGTGTTCTGGGGACCTTTAAGGAAACAAGTTTGTAAAGGCAGGCTGGGAGAGTGAGGCAGGGGCATTTAGCTATTCCCATCCTCATCTAGCTCCCCACTCTGGCTTCTCCCGCCAGCGGATGTGACCCTGGACCCAGAGACTGCTCACCCTAACCTAGTCCTGTCCGAAGATCGTAAGAGCGTCAAGTTTGTGGAGACAAGACTCCGGGATCTCCCTGACACACCACGGCGATTCACCTTCTATCCTTGTGTCCTGGCTACTGAGGGCTTCACCTCAGGCCGACACTACTGGGAGGTGGAGGTGGGTGATAAGACCCACTGGGCAGTGGGCGTGTGCCGGGACTCCGTAAGCCGAAAGGGCGAGCTGACTCCACTCCCTGAGACTGGCTACTGGCGGGTGCGGCTGTGGAACGGGGACAAATATGCAGCCACCACCACGCCTTTTACCCCTTTGCACATCAAGGTGAAACCCAAACGGGTAGGCATATTCCTAGACTATGAGGCCGGCACACTGTCTTTTTACAATGTCACAGACCGCTCTCATATCTACACCTTTACTGATACTTTTACTGAGAAACTTTGGCCCCTCTTCTATCCAGGCATCCGTGCTGGTCGGAAGAATGCTGCACCACTTACAATCAGGCCCCCAACAGATTGGGAGTGACAGGTAGGGATGTGGGAATAATTGGGGTGAGTCAGGGTCAAGAGCTATGGGCCTTCCTTCCTGTGACCTGCTGGAACGTCTTCATGTCTGCCTGGTTCCAGTCCTGCACTGTTTAGGAGAAGCACCTTGGTTTCTAGAATGGTTTATATGGAGGAGTATGTAGGACTGGTCTGGGATGAGCACACAGCTGTCTCTCTCCTAACCGTCAGGGTGGGGAATTAGTTCCCAGGGGTTATCTCCCCTGAAGTCCATCAGGTTTTCTATTGCACATGGATAGGTTAGGAAGGAAGGAGAGGCTTTTCCAGAAACAAAAAGTCTGTGAGAGGGTCTGACTTGCTCAAAACCAGAAGAGGAAACAGAAACCCCTGTACGTTCTTTTAAGGGGTTCTTATTTGTTGAGAAAGATCAGAGGGGTCTGTGTACCTCTAGACTAAAATAAAGATGAATGATAGTTGCTCTTGTGGGTCTAGAAGTTAAGGAGTTTTTTTGTTTGTTTTTTGTTTTTGAGAGCAGAGATTGGGCATCAAGAAGATTAGAAAGGAAGTTGGGAAAGGGGCTAAAGGAACAGATTCCTAACAGTTTCTTTGGTCTTCTACTCCCAGAGTAAGTTGCCATTATGAGTAGGATTGGCCAGAGGTAGGAATGTGGGGAGGAGAGGGTGAGAAGAAATGAGAGGAGAACCCAAGTCCCTGCCTCAGCCTTCAGCAAAGCTGGCTTATTGCCTGTCTCCTTAGAGTTGGTTGTCTCCAAGAATCGGTCAGTCACCTTTCTCCTGCAGAGGTGAGGTGCCAGAGACCCCTCAAGACATGTCTACCCTTTCACTGCTTTCCCAAGGGGACCTGGAAAGGACAGTCAAGTATTAGAGGAAAGAGAAAGGTATTTCTATCCAAAGCCCTGGCCTTAAAGAATGTTACTAAGTATCTGCTCCCAAGTTGTCAGCCTTGTTACTTGGTTAAGGTGTCCAAGCCAAAAAGGGAGAAGGAAAATGGAGTCTTCCTCACCCTGAGGACAGGGTAGAAGACAGGGTATGTAGAGCAAAGTGTCACATAGGCAACCTCCTTTAGCCTATGTTCATATGGCCTGGAACTAGTGTTCACAAGAGCCAGTCTCTTGCATATTTGTTGCCATCCTTCACCTTTTGCCATTTCCCCTATCAGAGAATGTAAATCATTTTAACATTAGGCCAAAATAAACAACTTGTAGGGTACATATGTTGTCAAAAAAGGTTAAAGCAATGCATGCCAAACCAAACTAAAATGATTTGGAATATCTGCTACTTGGGTGATCAGGGATTCACAGAAGATTGGGACAAGAAACTGCAGTTTATTGAGAGTGTTTCACTTCCTCCTACCACCTCAACAGGACTTTGTCCAGACTCTCCTCTTACCTTTGTGCCTTGACTGTGGTTCTTTGTGGCAAGATGCTTTGGTTGGTAAAACATAACATGGAACAAAGGATCCACTGAAGTGATCTCTGTGTTGTGTGGTAATTTGACAATGGCCTTGTGTTATGTAAGAATTACTGATGTTAAAAGTGCATGTTCTTGGGGCTGTCCTCAGTGATTGATCAAAGTCTGGGGTAGGGCTGGGCCTCTACATTTTAAACACACTCCTCATTTGAATTTAGGGAACTTTGGGAAATTAGTCCCAGAGGAAGTTTGGGCCATTTCTTCTGAGCTGAAGGGCTGGTTCCCTGCCTGGCCTGATGGGGTTTGAGAAGGGAGAGAGGCCTCATTCTCTCCTTACTTAATTCTGCCCTCTCCCTGTCTCAGGGTTCATTCATGTTATGCCCTTCCACCCCACATTCCTCTACTCTTGACTTCAGGAAATGCTGGTCATTATCTATGAGACAAAGGTAAACACAGGATGTCAAACAGAACAAGCAGGAGACTGAGGTCAGAGTAAGGGATGTTAAATATATGCCTTGGGTAGGGGTATGGGGGAGAGGAGAGTTTCAGAGACAGGAGATGCTGTCAAAATTTCTGTGCTCCAGTACCTAAGACTAGGAGTTAGCTAGGATCACCTACTATGTGTCTAGCACTGCATAACACGAAGTGTTTTTTGGGTAAGTGGAAAGGAATGGGAATAAGCTGTACTTCCCTCCCTCCACCACCCTCATGATCCTTTCCAATTTCACTCCCACCAGTACCAGTGCTTTTTTTGAATGTATAAGTTCTGTTTCTTCAGTCTGTAGATCTTCCAGGCATCTATCTACCTTTGGCTTGTGGAAAGTAGGGAAGAAGTTCTAGCAGGTATAAATTGCATATAACCATCTCCCCAGCCTATCTACATAAAGAGACCAGTATTCTGTCCTGAAAATATTTCCTAGTTTAAGATAATCTCCTGTTCCACTAGCCTTTCCTACCTAGTACAGTTGATCATGGGCTTGAGGAAGACTAGAAGAAGGCCAAAACTCAGAAAGGCGCCCTGGGCTTGGATTGCATGGATGAGTATGGGTTTACAAACAGCTGGGTCTGTGAGGCCACAGGGTGGCGCCAGAGTAAGGATCTCCCTGAGAGAGGCCCAGGAACTACACTTCCCAGGAGGCCTTGTGCAGGCGCCCGAGACGGAGCTATCGGAGGGGCAGGACCTGCGGACGCTCGCTTGTGAGGCTCTAGTGCAGCGTCGATGGCTGGCCCAGTAAAGGACCGAGAGGCCTTCCAGAGGCTAAACTTCCTGTACCAGGCAAGTCCGTCGGGGCGTTTGGGGAGGCGACTGGGTTTGGCCGGCCACCGAGTGACGGTTTCCCTTCCCTAGGCCGCCCACTGTGTCCTTGCGCAGGACCCCAAGAACCAGGCGCTGGCGAGGTTTTACTGCCACACGGAGAGGACCATCGCAAAGCGGCTGGTCTTGCGGCGGTGAGACGCTCCGGGAGCCTGGTGGCGGGCGGGACGTGGGAAGAATGGGGAGAATGAGCGCAGGCGCTCGGATCACCATCCCCCTCCGCCCACAGGGACCCCTCAGTGAAGAGGACCCTCTGTCGTGGCTGCTCTTCCCTTCTTATCCCTGGCCTCACCTGCACCCAGCGTCAGAGACGTGAGTGCTCCTACTAACGTGGGGTGATTGAGGTGCAGTAGTGGGTTGGGGAGGGGATCCCCTTCCTTGCTTTAGATGGGCGTCTAGCGTGGGATTTGCAGCAGCCGACATTTTCCAGCTTTGGGTTAAATTGGTAACTCCTCTGGGACAAACGAAGATCTGGACAATAGGGAAATGATGTTGCTATAAGAGGTAACCCACCCATACATAATAATAGGTGTTATTTTGCGTTGTGGAGGACAGGATTCACATCACTGTTTTCATTCATTCATTAAACAAATACTGATTTTTCTTTCTAAGGTGTATCAAGTATTGTATGAGATACATTATTCTCATTGAAATTATAGTCTGATAGAATAGACTAAGAAACAATTAAAATAGTGTAGAAAAATGCTTTAATTGGGGAGGTAACATTACTTATACCAGTAGTGATGAGGTTCATGATCAGCAAAAGGAGTGAAGAGATGGAAATTCTAGGCATGTGTGAGGACTCTGAGACAAGAGAGCTTGTGGTGCTGTCAAGGAGACCAGAGTTTAGGAGCCTGGAGTTTGAGGTGGACAAGGTTAAAGCATGAGGCTGGAGAAGGAAACAGGGCAGATCTTAAAGAGACTTCTAAGGACTTTGGACTTTATCTTAAAGGATACAAAAAAATTGAAGAACTTTAAGCAGGGGTAAGACATCTCAAATTTGTATTCAAAGTTGGGGAGGGTTGGAATTCATACCGAAAAACAGTGGAGGCAAAATTGGATGAAGGAGAGCTTTTCTTCTCCTAAATCTGGGCACTCTTTCCCCACCCCACCCCTGCTTAAACCCCAGGATGCAGGGGACAGCGCTGGACAGTACAGACCTGCCTAACATGCCAGCGCAGCCAACGTTTCCTCAATGATCCTGATCATCTGCTCTGGGGAGACCGGCCTGAGGCCCAGCTGGGGAGCCATGCAGGTGAGAGGTTTGTAGAGGAAAACTGAGGATACTCCAGGGAGATTGGAGTGATGGGGGGCATAGATCTGATGAGGTTACACAGGTGGATTCTACGTTGCTGGGAGAGGTGCCACAGTCTTATAAAACCCAAATTCTCATCTACACAGATCCCAAATCTCCACAACCCCTGCCAAACACAGCCCACCCCATTCTAGCCCACCTCTGTGAGGAGAAAGTGCAGCATGAGAGCTCCAGCCACCAGTGATGGATTCATCTTATCTTCGAAATAAATAAAGTATATTGGTGTCTCACTTTGTGTGATTCTGTGAGTATTTCAGCTCTTCATTCTATTTTCCTCTGTTTCGGTTTGTATTTCTCTGTCACTGGCTAACCTCTCTGTCTTTACCATGTTCATATTCCTACAATTTGGGGAGATCCTGATTTCTATAAACCACTTGCCCACTGAGCAGCTTCCATTTCCAGGATACTGACCCCAGTGCTCCTTCATCCCTGCTTCCTTAGTGCAATGCCACATTTGGAACTCAGGATCCAGGGTTGTTGGCAAGAGCTTGAGCCTTCATAGAATATTTTTTATTTAGGTAGCCCTCACTGTTGACTAAAGGGCTAAACAGACTGCTGATGCCACTGATGTCGTTTTTAGACAAGGAAAAAAAGAATGGCTTCAGATCCTCCAGGCTCACTCCAAGCTGATCTTTCCCAATCTCTTGGTTTTCTTCTATAAAATTCTAATATGAGAAGTGGTACAAACCTGAACAAGGTCAAAGGTGATAACGAAAGGACATTGGTGGACAGTACACAACTGTGCCCCATAGATAAACCCTCAGGATTTTCTTGAGAATGAGTAAACAACAAAAATTGTTTTATTTGATGTCGGTAGGGAACTTACTCAAAGACAGAATTTCAGACTGACCTCTTGCTGGGTGCCAGCTAATCAATTTCCCTCAAACATATACAAACAAAATTCACGATTCCCAGAATACAATTTTCTTTCTTCTCTTGCTCTTATAAATCCTGTGTTGTACTTATTTATTGCTGCATAAAAATCACTGCATGATGTGGCTTCAAACAATGATTTTGTGGACTATGCTTTCTGAGAGCTTAACTGGCTAGTTTCTTCTATTCCATATGGCATCAGCTGGGGTGACTCAGCTGCATTTAGCTGCTGTCTGTGGTACCTGGTCTAGAAGACCCCAGAAGATTCATATGCATGTCTGCCACCTCCTTGCTTTTCTGTGTGGCCTATTACATAGCTGGTTTTGATGTTCTCACAGCATAGGTCTCTCAAGGAGGTTGGACCTCTTACATGCCCTCTGGCTTCCACCGAAAGCAGTTAAGAAGTCAAGCTCCAAGGTGCAAGTACTTATCAAGCCTCTGTTCTCATCACACTTGCTGATTGATGTCCCCTTGACAAAGCAAGTAACCAAGCCCAGATTCAACAGGGAAGGAGCATGCATACCAGAAGGTTCATTTGTTCCCTGGGACCACCAGTGTAGCAATCTACCACATCTTTATTTTGCCTTCATCCTTGACTCAGTTTTCCCATTGACTCTGTATGTCAATAGGTTACTTGCATGAAAAATAGTAAATAGTGTGCAAGTAACTTTCTCAGTTACTTTGTAACAGTTTATTTCTGGAGATAGTGTCTATCTGGGTCAACTGTAACAACCAACATAAACATGTAGCCTGAAAACGCACCTCCTGTAGACCTGGACGCTTTTCATCTTCAGTTCTTGTTCCTTGGCTGCATCCGTGAGTCTCATTTCTGATCTTATTCATTCTTCTACACTGGGTCTGATTTTTGGCTAAGTTTGTTTGGAGTGTTTTGTTGATTGCACATGACTGAACATGCCCATAGTGGGATAATGAGGGAACTTTGAGTTTTGATTTTATGGCTGAGTTCATTAAGTGATATCCCTCGTGTGGGGAGACTGTGGAAATCATGTTCCAGTTGGGAAATAGATGAAACCATGTGGAATATGGTTCACTTAGGTGTTTGTGGTTCGTTCATCTGTTTTGTGTTTTCATCAGAATAGATTCCTCTAACTAGAGGTCATGGTCCTATTCCTCCTTCCAAAACTGTGTCCTTTTTCATGTTTACTAATTTTTTTTAATTTAAATTCTAGTTGCTTAACACATAGTGTAATATTGATTTCAGGAGTAGAATTCAATGATTCATTACTTACATACAACACCCAGGGTTCATCATAACAAGTGCCCTCTTTAATACCCATCACACATTTACCCATCCCCAACCCAACTCCCTCCATCAGCCATCAGTTCTCTATCATTAAAAGTCTCTATGGGTGGCTTGGGTGGCTCAATCAATTAAGTGTCCAACTTCAACCCAGGGCATGATCTCACAGTTTGTGAGTTCAAGCCTTGCATCAGGCTGTGTGCTGACAGTTCAGAGCTTGGAGCCTGCTTCAGATTCTGTGTCTCCCTCTCTCCCTGTCCTTCCCCCACTTGTGCTCAGTCTCTCAAAAATAAACGTTAAAAAAAATTTTTTTACAGAGTTTCTAATGGTTTGTGTCCCTCTCTTTTTTATTCCCTTCCCATATGTTTGTTTTGTTTCTTAAATTCCACATGAATGAAATCAAATGATATCTTTCTCTGACCGACTTATTTCACTTATCATAATACACTGTAGCTCCATCCACATCATTGCAAATGTCAAGATTTCATTTCTTTTGACAGCTGTGTGTGTGTGTGTGTGTGTGTGTGTGTGTGTGTATCTCACATCTTTATCCATTCATCAAATGGACATTTGGGCTCTTTTTTGGCTATTGTTGATAATGCTGCTATAAACATCAGGGTACATGTACTCCTTCAAATCAGGATTTTTGTATCCTTTTGGTAAATACTGAGTAGTGCAATTGCTGGATTGTAGGGTAGTTCTATTTTTAACTTTTTGGGAAACCTACATACTGTTCTCCAGAGTGGCTGCACCAGTTTGCATTCCCACCAAGAGGGATTCCAAGTGCAAGAGGGTTCCCCTTTCTCTACATCCTCACCAACGCCTGTTGTTTCTTGTGTTGTTACTTTTAGCCATTCTGACAGGTGTGATGTGGTATCTCATCGTGGTTTTGATTTGTATTTCTCTAGTGATGAGTGATGTTGAGCATCTTTTCATGTGTCTACTGGCCATATGGATGTCTACTTTGGAAAAATGTCTATTCATATCTTCTGCCCATTTCTTAACTGGATTGTTTGTTTTTTGGGTGTTTAGTAAGTTCTTTATAGATTTTGGATGCTAACCCTTTATGAGATAGGTCTTTTGCAAAGATCTTCCATTCTGTAAGTTGCCTTTTAGTTTTGTTGATTGTTTCCTTTGCTGTGCAGCTTTTTATCTTGATGAAGTCCCAATAGTTCATGTTTGCTTTTGTGTCCCTTGTCTCTTGTCTCTGGCAACGTGTCAAGTAAGAAGTTGCAATGGCCAAGTTTGAAGAAGTTGCTGCCTGTGTTCTCCTCTAGGATTTTGATGGTTTCCATCTCATGATTAGGTCTTTCATCCATTTTGAATATATTTTTGTGTATGGTGTAAGAAAGTGGTTCAGTTTCATCTGCATTTTGCAATCCAGTTTTTCCACCACCATTTTGAAGAGACAGTCTTTATGCCATTGGATATTCTTTTCTGCTTAGTTGAATATGAGTCGACCATATAGTTGTGGGTCTATTTCTGGGTTTTCTATTCTGTTCCATTGATCCATGTGTCTGTTTTTGACCCATACTGCCTTGATGACTACAGCTTTGTAATATAGCTTGAAGTCTGGAATTATGATGCTTTCAGCATTGCTTTTCTTTTTCAGGATTGCTTTGGCTATTTGGGGCCTTTTGTGTTTCCATGCAAATTTTAGGATTGTTTGTTCTAGCTCTGTGAAGAATGCTGGTGTCATTTTGATAGTGATTGCATTAAATGTGTAGATTGTGGGGCACCTGGGTGGCTCAGTCGGTTGAGCATTGACTTCAGCTCAGGTCATGGTCTCGCGGTTCGTGAGTTCGAGCCCTGCGTCAGGCTCTGTGCTGACAGCTCAGAGCTTGGAGCCTGCTTTGGATCCTGTGTCTCCCTCTCTCTCTACCCCTCCCTCGCTTGCTCTCTCTCTCTCTCTCAAAAATAAATAGACTTCCAAAAAATTATTTTAAAAATAATTTTAAAATACTGCTTTGGGTAGTAGAGACTTTTTTTTTTTTTTTTTAACAGACAGGGTTGGGGGAAAGAGACAGAGAGAGAGACAGAGAGAGAGATAGAGAGAGAGAGAGAATCCCAAGCAGGCCCCATGCTGAGCTCATGGGATCCTACGACCCTAGGATCATGACCCAAGCCAAAATCAAGAGTCAGACGCTCAACCAACTGAGCCACCCAGGCGCCCCTGGGTATTACAGACATTTTAATAATGTTTGTTCTTCCAATCCATGAGCATGGAATGTTTTCCATTTCTTTGTGTCCTCTTCAATTTTCTTCATATGTTTTCTGTACTTTTTAGGGTCCCGATCTTTTACCTCTTTGATTAGGTTTATTCCTAGGTATCTTCTGGTTTTTGGTGCAGTTGTAAATGGGATCAATTCCTTGATTTCTCTTTCTGCTGCTTCGTTATTGTTGTATAGAAATGCAACCGATTTGTGTACATTGATTTTTTATCCTGCAACTTTGCTGAATTCATGTATTAGTTCTAGCAATTTTTTGGCAGAATCTTTCAGGTTTTCTATGTAGAGTATCATGTTGTCTGCAAATAGTGAAAGTGTGACTTCTTTCTTGACGATTTGGACCTTTTATTTTTGGTTTTGGTTTGCTCACAGTTACAGCATTTTATTTCAGCTTTAGTTATTTTATCCCTGCAGTAAGGGATTCTTTTGTGACTTCTATGCTTTTTTCAAACCCAGCCAGTATCCTTATAATTGTTGTTTTATTTTTTTTTTCAGTTTATTTATTTATTTTTGAGAGAGAGCATGCATAAACACAAGTGGAGTAGGGGCAGAGAGGGAAGGAGAGCAGGAGAATCCCAAGCAGGCTTCACATGACAGTGTAAAGCCCAACACTGGGCTTGAACCCATAAACCTTAAGATTATGACCTGAGCCAAAACTGAATTGGACACTTAACTGACTGAGCCACCCAGGCCCCCTATAATTGTTTTAAATTCTAGTTCAGACATCTTACTTATATCTGTATTGATTAAACCTCTGACCCTTCCTTCTTCCTGTTTTTTCTTTTGGGGTGAATTTCTCCATCTTCTCATGTATAAATTCAAAACAGGGTTGGGGGGGAGGCTGTGTTTTGTGGTCTTGTCTGTTTGT